ATGGTTCTAACGGGCGAAAACGGTGGAGACAGTCTTTATGATTCTCGCCATGTCCGCGGCAAAACAACTCTTTCGGTACCCCGTGCGCTTTGGGAAGGATGTCAGTCAACATGGCCAACACAGACCCTGCGGTCGCCGTCCCCAGGTTCGGCGTCAGCGGAGTGGTGAGGCGATCGCCACGCGAGATGTGGTATCTTCGATGACCTTCTGCCTCGTGGGCGACTCTCCCACAGCCTTCCCGATATCTTGCGCTGCCCCTAAACCCGCACGCAGGTCGTACCACGTATTCGTACGGTCGGTGTTACGCGTGACTTGCAGGATACTCAAGAACGCCGCAAGAGGACTCCCACAAGGACCATCTCTGACGACCGGTATCAATAGATCCAGAGGACTCACACAAGGATAATCTTCGCGATGAGCTCGTCGCGGTAGGTGCCCTCCGCCCTCGCCACGTGCTGAAGAAGGTTGAGCACGAGGTCCTCCAAGTTCCGCTTCGTGACCATGCCTTCACACCACCGTGACAACAGGGGAACAAGGAGAGACAAAAAAATCGAGAAAAGGTGTGAATTTCATCACCAACAACGGACTGCGTCACTTCCAGCAACGTCGTCACCAATACTTCCAGGGCCAAAACGTCCGCGAAACCAAGGTAAGCAATACAGGCAGTTGTAGTAGGTCCCTGAAAAAGGTCGCATAGCGGTACATGTAAGGGTTTAGGACGGCCTTGCAACACCGGGCAGCCCGCACTATTCAGAGTGTGAGACCACTTGAATATCCCGCATGCGACATAGAATTTCACCAGCCTTGTACAGGGCGACCGGCCGTAATACCGGGTCCGCTGGTCAAACGGATTGCAACACAAACGTAACACACACTCGCCATGGAATCAGCCCGGCGCTCTCTTCCACCACCCCCTTTTCTTTTTCCTCCCCCGCACCTGCTATTTTATTTCTACAACTTTGTACCCTGTATGGGGAAGTTGGCCCGTGGCCATGGAAGGCGTTCCACGTCAGTTGGTGGACCGGTACGGGTGTTGGGAAGGTTCTGAGCAGAGACCGGTTCTTAATTGCCTAGACAACAACAGCAACAACAACAACAACAACAACAACACACCCACACAATGGACGGAAAGCGGACGCACCGGTCAGAAGCTCCAGCGCCCTGGTCCTGATGGTGATGTCATCATCCGAGAGGCAAGCCAGCACCAAAGCACGGTGCTCCGCCACTGCCCTGGGGTGAGATCGCATCAGGTTCACGAAGCCCACCAATCCCTTTGAGATGATTCGGTCATGGGGACGACGACAAACACACGCGCGCGGAGACGGCAACGGCGGCAACGGCGGCAGGCTTGAGGGATCAGGTCATCAGGTCGCCCAAGGCGCAACGCAAGTCGACGAACGACGTGATTTTTGTTGTGGAGAGATGCAGCGTTGTCTCGGGAGAGAACCGAGGGGACCGCTGAAGTTGGGGAGAGCATCAGGCAACAATGAAACCAGCGACACCAGCATGGGAACGACATCAATAACGACAGCAACAGTAACTGCAGCGAGTGCAGCAGCAGCACAGAGAGCGACAACAGCTCCGTCGCCAACGACACCAACAGCACCACCCCCAACCACCACCAAACGCGCGCGAAGCAGGCAAACACCCCCGTCAGGCCCGAAAGCCTCACTCACCAAATACTTGAGGTTCTGGTCCGGGTCCTCCGTGAACTTCCTCAGGTGCTCCGAGCACAGCCGCACCGCCGCCGGGACGGCCTTGCTCTCCGTCCCGTCTGCTTTTCTAGTGAACGGCAGGGCCAGCGTCATCGTGTGGATGCACTCGTACAGCAATGACTTCGCCGCGGTGTTCTGGGAGGCAGGGAGGGGGGGGCACCGCAGATGTGGGAATTAAGACAAAGGACAACAAGTTTTAGGCGAGCAATAATAGGCGAAAAGTCCAAACAATCTCGCATACTTTGCTCGCCCGCGAACCAACCGAACCAAGACTCTAACCGAGGAAAAAACGCGAAAGGGCGATCGAAGGGTGTGGCAACAGCAAGCAGCAAACGTGATCGATGGAACACCGGGTGGTACCGCTTGTGACAATCGAAAAAGAGGGTCACTTCCTTGACACAAGAAAAAAGATTCCCTGTGCCCCCTTCCCCCAAGCTTAACCTTCCTCCAAACGTACACAACACAAGCACACCTGAATGATAGTCGCCAAGGGTTCCAGCAGCTTTCTCGCTAGACGCGGCTCCTCAGGCACCAGCGACCCCAAAAGCTTTACCACCTTTAATTGCAGAAAGCCACCGCCGATACATCGGCCAGCGAGCGCGCAGCACAAAAAAATCGTCGAGGGCAGTAGTCCGGCAAGAGTGACAAAAGAAGAACGGCGAGAAGGAGGGTCGACGAGGAGAGTTGGGCGGGGTGGGGGGGTGGGGGCTTCATGTTTTGCATGCCTTAGCGGATAGACCAAGAAATCATGTCCGTGTCCTCTTCTGTTTACAAACGTACACACGCAGCCATAGTAGTACGCCGGTGATGGTTGTGGAGGGCGGGAACGGAAACTCGACCCGTCGAACAGACTATTATAAACTGACTCACGGGGAAAATCGTCTCGGACCGGAGCCAAACGCCACCCACCGCACCTGGACACCGATGCAGAGGCAAAACAAAGCACCACCGCCGGCGCGGGTACCAAGTCCCAACACCCACACACACAAACACCGGTGTCTTCTACTTGGCACCTGGCCAGATCGCGGCCGATGCTAATTACACACACAGACGTTGAAAAATCCTCACTGTTGAAAAATCCTCCCGTGCTCATCTCTCCACCTTCTACTCGCCCCCCCCCCCTTACACGAACGCCTTCGGGAGAACATAAGTGAAACAGAGAGGGGGGGGTCCTAACCCTAGTCCCCACCCCCGCAACCCTTACTCAAACCAAGCTTTAACTATCCTATCGAAGGCTGCTTACTGCACACACACACACAACACACCTTGATGAGCATCCAGTTGTTCGAGGAGGTGGTGAGGAGCCGGAAGAACTGCGGGGCCATGGCTAGGTAGTTCTTGGGGTTCTTGTCCGCTAGCTCGCAGATCACGTTAACCGCGCAGCTGACGACGCTGCTGTCGGAGTCCTCGAGGCGTTCCTTGATGCGGTCGAACGTCAGGCGGAGCCCCTGGGGGTACTTGATGAACAGCTTGTACCTGGGTGAAGCGTTGGCGCGTGCGTGTGTACTTTTGTGTTTGTTTTTTCTCCTTCTATTGATGTCTCTAATACATGGGTATCGTGGTTTTATCGTGGGACGTGTCCTCTCGCTCCGGACACAAAAAATCAAGAAAAAGAGGGAAAAGACTGTTTTAAAACATCAACCGCCTGAGAATGGGAGGACGGCATCCAGATTTAGAAAAGAACGAAAAACACAGCGACAAAAAGCCGAAACGTTTGTCACTTTCGCGTGGTGTGGTCCGCATGCTTACACACCCGGGTCTTCTCTACACCTCACCAAGATCACAAGATTTTCTGCAGCTACCGCCAGCAGAACTTTGTATGCCTGTTTTGTTTGGGCGCATCGCTGCGAACAACAACAACAACAACAACAACAAAAGGTCGTACTATTCTATTGTTCAATGCTTGGTTTAAGAGAAGGAAAATGCTGGCTATTCCTGGAGAGAGAACAACCCCGTCAGCAGTAGTGCGAAAACTAAAAACCAAGCAAATCGAGACTCGAAGACAGCAAGCAGTTTTCGAAAAGCGACTACTACCCGCCGGCCCTGTTGATCTCTGTGTAACAAATGGCTCAACACAACCGCGCTTCCAACACACGGCAACAGCACACACACATGAACAACACATAAAAAAACAAGCTCACATCGCAAGCAGCGCCTTCTTGCGAACGTAGGGCTTGTGGTTCCCGAGGAGCTGCACCAAGTCGCTGATGAGGTCTCGCGACAAGCCCGGGGTGGCGATGTTAGCCAGACAGTTGATGGCCAGACCCACGTCGTACTGCCGGGGTGGTTCATCCGGATACAAAACAACGGGAGTGCGGAGGCCGAAATAAGTACACGAACGAAACCGTGGAAAAAGTTGACACACGGAGAATGTTCTTCGGAACAGCCCCTGACGGTGGCATGGTCCGAGGCCGCAGCAGTATGAAGAAGTTACCCCCCACCAAGCTGCTTGGTGGCATTTCCTCTCATTTTCCGGAAGCTAACAAACAGCGAACCCACTCGCGATAGACAGCCGATGGCCCAACATGTTGCCCGATCTACCGTCGTTGTGAACCCTCCCCCCCCCGACCCTTCGAGCAAGCTCGACCAAATGGACGCCCTGGCAAGTCATTACCAAAACCCGCAGGTCTACCGACGGGCCTTGGCACGCCGACCCCGACCTCTGGACCACACACAAACACGTACTGTAGGTGCCGCCATGGAAGCTTCGGCAGCATGTGTCATTCCCAGAAAAAACATGGGGGGGGGCGAGCGCGGTGCGCCACACAAATGACGTAGCGTGGCAGAACAACCAACCCTTTTTTTCGCTTGTGCACATTCCAACAACGCACGCAAGGTAGGCCGGTTTCCGTGCCACCTCGCCCCCTCTCTCGCTATCGATTGCCCTCGCCACCGTTCTCTCTGCCAGCCGGCCTTCCCTTCCTACCGTCTACGAAGTTCAGTGTTTGAAGTTCGTTTGTTATTCTGCCCCCCGTCCCCCTCCCCGTGGTGTTTGCCATCGGGGTTGGGTTTTCGACGCTTGGTAACGACGTCGTAAAGCCAGCCGATCGCTTTGCGAACTCCACAGCCATTTACCGCTTTTTTCTTGCCCTTTGTTTTCTTGCTGTAACCATAATGGTGGTCGAGTAGATGATGTTGTGCGGGGGGGACAACCCTCACTCGCCGCAAAGGGGGATAATCGCACCACGTTGTGTTAAAATGGTCAAGCATCCTCGAGGCAGTTCCACAGTGTTTATATGACTGTCTCTGGAAGTAAAAGCACCACAAACTTAACTATCGCAGCTGTCGTCCGTATGCAAGAAAGTAAGCACAAGATGCCGAACACCCTTAGCAGGATGCAGCTCACCCTTCATGCGACGCGCCGAATACCTCACGGTGCTTCGCGCTTGGTGATGTGAGAGCCTGGCCCTGTGAGAACCCGGCGTGCTCCGTCCCGGCTTTGTAGGGATGCGAGATCAATGATCTGCCGACTACGGCATGCGCGACTAAAAGTACACCCCCCCCCACCGGGTCATTGGTCTAACAACCAAAGCATGCAAAACATGAGTACGCCCCCCCCACCCACCCGCTGGCTCATTTATTTGCCCTTACCGGATTCTGCGACTTGAACTCCTTCTGCAGGTGGTTGGTGCACAGCAGCACCACCTCCGTGTCCTCCGTGAAGCATTGGTTAGCCGCCAGGTATCCGACTCGCTTGTGCGCAAACCGGGGCATGGTCATCACCTGAAATCGCGCCAGCAGATTCATCCGAGTCGAAAATGGAGATCAAGAGACGGACAATGGTACCGGCCGGATGGGGGAAGCGTTTCATTCAGGGGAGGGGGGGAGGGTCGAGGATGAAAAGAACTCCATCCTACCCGCGTCACCCCCACCCACCCGGTTTCCCATCTGCCCTTGCTCAAGACTCGAGGCTATCTACAACTGTTCGGAGTGCAACGCTTGCAGCGGCCTACTAGGTCGTACTCCGAAGTATCTAGGGCGGACAACAGCTGGAGACGATTGGAGTGCGGTGGTTCTTTACGTGGCGGTCTACGGGTGCCGTTATCCTTGAGGCCTGCCTACGCACCTTCAGAACCGAGGCCCTCGGTTCTCCCGGATGCTATTCAACACACGACCATTGCGCAATAATCTCTGGCCTACGCCCGCACGGACTTCCTGTCTCTGCTTCTCGGACACAGTGATGAAAATTGAAAATAATTCTACACACACAATGGAGTAAGAGACGAAAAGCTGTACAACCCACCTCGATGACGTAGAATGCCGCCCAACTCATGTCGTAGCCCAGCATCTGCAGATACGTCAGCTTACGAATCTACGACAAGATGCAAACAGCGGAAAGTCGGGCAAAGGGTGGAGGGGAAGGTTCCTGTCGGTGTCGGGCTCTCCCGGGACAAAAAAAAACATGACACACAATTTCTTCCCATGTGTTGAGACAGCCATTGACAGAGTAGTTCTCCGCGGTGCCAACGACGCAACAATCGAAACCAACCAACTCGTACGTAGCACTTGCCTATAGCTATGATGGAAACAAGTCAGCAAGCGCGACGGGAGGTTGGGACGGGGGTACCCGCGTTGCTCCCTACAGAAAACCGGTAGTTGGGGACGAATTACACAGCACAGTGTATCATGCGGAACCCCTGTTAGGATTCTTGTCTACTTTTGCTCGAGCCGTTCTTGGGGTCACTACCCTGGCCATCGCCGAAACTCATCCGATCAGACTTTGGTCTTGTCACGAAAACAGCCACGATACCTCAGGACACCGGCCAGTCATGTTCCGTGTTCCGAAAGCAAGTCTACGGTGGGGCAAAGACGGCGTTTTCTACGGTACGAGGGTGCGCCCTTGAGGAGCGTCCTCTGGGGAACACACACAGTAGTCCACATCATCACAGCAGTCTTCATGATCAGCTCTGTGTTCAATGAGCCCCATTGACGAGCAGTTATAATAGTGGGGGGGGGGGCCGAGGTACTTTTAATTCTTAATATTCTTTATATTTTATGCAACTTGTTAACACCTAATAATTAAAGACTTATATAATACTGATTATAATAAACAAAAA